TGTGCAGCAGATCCAAGCTTCTGATCTTGCATTTGCTGCAATACTGGGCGATGGATCCGTGGTCACCTGGGGTGATGCCGACTGTGGTGGCGACAGCAGTGCGGTACAGGATCAGCTGCGAGATGTGAGGCAGATCCAAGCTTCTTCGAAGGCATTTGCTGCAATTCTGGGTGATGGATCTGTGGTCACCTGGGGTAATGCCAACCATGGTGGCGACAGCAGTGCGGCACAGGATCAGCTGCGAGATGTGAGGCAGATCCAAGCTTCTTCATATGCATTTGCTGCAATCCTGGGTGATGGATCAGTGGTTACCTGGGGTAATGCCAGTTATGGTGGCGACAGCAGCGCGATACACGATCAATTGCGAGATGTGCAGCAGATCCAAGCTTCTTCTCTTGCATTTGCTGCAATCCTGGGTGATGGATCTGTGGTCACCTGGGGTGCTCCCAACTATGGTGGCGATAGCAGTGCGGTACAGCATCAGCTGCGAGATGTGCAGCAGCTCCAAGCTTCTTATCTTGCATTTGCTGCAAGCCTGGGTGATGGATCCGTGGTCACCTGGGGTGATGCCGACTGTGGTGGTGACAGCAGTGCGGTACAGGATCAGCTGTGAGATGTGAAGCAGATCCAAGCTTCTGGTGGCGCATTTGCCGCAATCCTGGGTGATGCATCTGTGGTCACCTGGGGGTTTCCGAAAATAGGGGACCCTGATATAGTAAGCTAAATAGTAGGATCCTTATTATAAGGACCCCCAAATAAGGTCCCCTAATTTTCGGAAACTCCCACCTGGGGTGATGCCCACTTTTGTGGCGGCAGCAGACTTTGACTTGACCCTGTGGCCTGCCTAGTCTCGGTGCTGTTCGCCCGCAAGTCCTATACCCGAAGCCGTTATGGGAGTTTCCAAAAATTAGGGTACCTTATTTAGGGGGTCCTTATAATAAGGATCCTATTATTGAGGGTACTATATTAGGGTCCCCTATTTTCGGAAACCCCCTTATGCACGAATCCTCGCCCACCGACTTAACCGTTGTGATATTCCGATTCAGAAACCCTAAACCCTAAACCCTAAACCCTAAACCCTAAACCCTAAAGAGCCGCAAAAAAGCAGCCCTGGGCCCTGAACCGCTCATGCACAACTGGCATGGGTCAGGGTGAGTTTTGGTCTGGGAAGGCGGCAGTTCGGCCCCTACTTAAAGGTTCCGTAAAGGGATCTGTAAGGGTTCAAAAGGGTTTAGGAGATACTTAGACTTAAAGGATCATAAGACTTAGTAGCTAGGGTTGTAAATCAGGTAACTCTACTCATAACTACTCATACCCCAATTGAGGAACAATTCTCCGAAAGCCCGGGAACCTGAAACCGTAATGTAGGGGCCTTAATAATTAGAATAGGTTTGTTTTTTTTTTGGGGGGGGATTCCTTATTCTATTTAGAGTATAATATACCCCAAGGCCTATTCTAATTGTTAAAGCCCCCAAACCCTAAACCCTTATAGTAGCTCTGACAGAACCCTAAAAGGAACCCTATATTGTATACCCCAAGCCCTATTCTACTTATTGAAGCCCCCTATACTACCGAAGCAAGGAGCCCCAATTGCTGTGGCACCGCCTTGCTTTGCGACTCTGCCTGGCCCCTGGCGGCTTCGAAGTTGCGGTTCACTTTGTAGTAGTAGTAGTAGTAGTAGTAGTAGTAGTAGGAGGAGGACTATGTCGGTTTAGGGTCAGGCTTAGGGTGTTCATCACGATCCTCGTAGAGTATATAGCCTTTAGGCTTTTGGGACCAGGATGATCCCTACATGGTGGAAAAAGGCTCGCCTTTACTGTAGCTCCCTTGGGAAACTGGCAAGCAGTCTCGAGATCAGGCCATGAGGTGTGGATATTGCACAGGGACCACCAGGTAGCTGCCATGAAACCGTACCCAGACCTACTAGTGAATTAAACATAACTGCATGAGAACCTCGACTAGATAGATCATGAAAATACTACTCCGCATGATGTTGCTGCATCTTGTCGTGCCGTGGTGCTGTGACTTTAAGGTCTACCTAGCTCCCCAATACCCAACCTTTAACTTTTCTGGGTTCTTATCATTCAGTAGTAATCTGAAAGTTTAACGGTTTAATTTCCCTGGCTCACTGGGGAAGTACGTCTAGGGGTTACCCTAAACCCTCGCAACTTGTAGCCTGAACCTGTGCGCCTCTTGAGCCTTTTGACCTCAACCCCAGTTCGCGATTGGGGTTTAGGGATTAGGGTTTAGGGTCTAGGGCTTAGGGTTTAGGGATTAGATAGCCAGTGGGTGTAGGGTTTAGGGCATGGAGAACTGAAGCCTTTAAGTCTTTGGGGTCCAGGCACGCAAACCTACACCCTGAAGCCCTAAACCGCCAATGTAAGCCCTCACGCCCTAACTTAGTAGTCGAGTAGGTCACCTCATAACTTTTCGGGGTGTCACAATCCCATCATCCCAAAGCTTAACCTCTAGCTCACCCAGGATACTGGGCAAAGTAAGCTAAAATCCCAAGATTCGACGTCTCNNGAGACGTCGAATCTTGGGATTTTAGCCACATCCCGAAACCCAAAACCCTAAACCCTAAACCCTAAACCCTAAACCCTAAACCCCTACCCGAGGTGTTAAACTTCAAAGAGCACACGGAGACCTGGAAGTCCCCAGCCAGAGCTCCATACGTAAAGAAAGAGGGCCCTATTACAGAGCCCTATACTGGGTTTAGGGTTTAGGGTTTAGGGTTTAGGGTTGTATACTACCCTTGAAGGGGGCCCTATCACAGAGCCCCTGCAGAACCCCTTGAGGGTTTAGGGGTGTATGGATTTTTGGGTTCAGTCCAGGGGGTGCAGGTTTTTACGGATTCTACGGTTGGGGGTTTAAGGGTCTAGGGGTTTAGGGTTTAGGGTGTAGGGGTTTGGGCGTAGGTTGTGGGGTTAAGGGTTAGGTTTCATTTAGCAGCCTCAATAACTGCCAACAGCGTTCCTTTAGGGTTCCTTGAAGTGAAGGGTTCTTATCGGTTTAAATTCGCAAAAGCATACAAAGGGGTTTAGGTTTAGGAATACTTACCAGCGTAAAGCCTTCGGGTTCCTCATTACATATAATTCCTCTTTCACATGCCACCCCATCCTAAACCAACACACACACACACAACAAAAACACATAAAGCAAGCAAAACAAAGTTTAAACAAACAATAATCGATCTATTTCAGTCCCCCATATCATTTTGTCTTTGCTCAGGCAGTGACACCACTGAGAAGGGTGTGGGCCTCGGTCGCTGTAAGACGCAGGATTCCATAGATTCACGATTTGATCGCTGTTTCGTTCGTGGTTGGGCGAATTCGTTGAAGGTTTTGGCGAGTCTTGGCGGATTCGTTGAGTCGTTTCGTCGCGTGAATAAGTTTCCTTTCGTCCATGAGATACTGAAGGCCTTGCCTCCGGACCTCGATTCTTGGGAATGGGGTGCGTGAAGTTCCGCGCAACATTGCATCCGGAGCCAAACAGCCATCCAAAGCATACGCTTCTTGCTTATCTTCTTCTTAGGGTCTCCTGTAAACATCCGGAGGCCTCAACCCTCCTGCCCTGAGCCCTATGCTTGAAAATGCCCTTCGCAACACCATCCGAAACTCCCAACAGTTCAATCAGGCCCTTAACTAGGTGGCACTTTGGGAAGCTTCAAGATTTCCCTATAGAGGTACCTACTCATAAATACGCTTGAGAGCCCCTAGACTACAACACAGTTACTTAAGCTTCTCAGGGGCTGAGTAGGTAACCTTTAACCTTTTGGGGCTTCTCTTTATCCTACTCTAAGTTAAGCCTAAAGAAAGCCTGAACCACAACAGCTCTTTGCCTGAAGCTGCATGAAGCTCCAAGAGCTTTTAATGCCTCAGAGCCTAAAGCCCATAGACCCTAAACCCTTCACCCCAAAGCCCTGAACCCCTAAACCCGAAGCCCCTAAACCCAAAGCCCCTCAACCCTAAGCCTAAAACCCCCAAACCCTCAATTCACCCATGGGCCCCATAGTAGTTCCTTTTTGGGATTACCTTATAGGATTCTAAATATGAACCCCCAAAAAGGAACTACCATTGGGGCCCTCTGCCCAGCAGATCAGGTCTGGTGCGTGTTCGAGGCCCACCTCACGCAGCATCTGCGATCTGGCCAGGCGTCTTGGCGGCGACTTCGGCTTCAGGTTTAGGCTTTAGGGTTTGGGGTTTAGGGTTTAGGGTTTGGGGCTTCAGGTTTAGGCTTTAGGGTTTGGGGCTTCAGGTTTAGAGGTTTGGGGTTTAGGGTTTGGGGCTTCAGGTTTAGGCTTTAGGGTTTGGGGCTTCAGGTTTAGGCTTTAGGGTTTGGGGTTTGAGGTTTGGGGTTTAGGCTTTAGGGTTTGGGGTTTGACCCTCAGGGTTTATAGGGTTTGAGGTCTAGGGTTTATAGGGTTCAGGGTTTGGGGTTTGAGGTTTGGGGTTTTGTTTAGGGTTCAGGCGCCTGAATATTTAGAATATAGGGTTTTGGGCTTCTTTATGGTATGATTGCAATAGAGGAATCCTGAGGAATAATCTGGTAATTATTCAGGCTTCTAGATGGGCTACAGACGCAAAGACCCCGGTTCTTGAGGACAGGATTCTGATAACATGGTCGCTGATCTGGGTTCCACAGGTACCAGGTACCGTGCTAGACACCTTGAAGCTTTCTCTGAAGTACCTGGGCAAAGGGGCACGTTAGGTCGTCCGGTTCATCGTAGAGTTCCTGATGCATGTGGGGGTTTCGGGGCTCAGACCTACTTTACGGCTGCAGATTCACATTCGGGAGCTTCTGTTTAAAACGGAGCCTCCCCAAAAAGGACCGTAAGTAGTAGGATACGGTTATCATGCAGCATGCCTTAAGACTTCCTATAAGTTATTACTAACAATATCTAGCAACCCCGAAGAGGGGTTGCAATAGAGCAAAGGTGAACAAGAGAGCTGGTTGGCGCCCATTTTTCATGCCAGATGAGTACATTCGCCTGCCATGGGGTATATTCCGCATCCTGTGTCGGCTGCTGCACGCAGAGGGGTCGTGACGAGTCGAGCAAGGCGCCTCCACGCCAGGGACCCGGAGCCAGAATCCACCAGAAGCCTCGGGAGCTGAATAAGCTCGGCAATCCGCCTTGCCCCTTGCTTGGAGGGTCATGGGACTTAGTAAGTAAGGTTAGAAGTACCTTGAGTGGGGCTACAAGTAATTATAAGTAATACTTATAGAAAAATTGCCTCACTTATGACCTTAGGTACTACGTCCCATGATCATTTAAGTGCACCACCGCGGCCAACAGCATCAGAAGCCTTTTTAAGAGGGTTCTCACAAATTGCGGATGAGCAGCTGGCCAAGGCGGCTTGAAACTGCGATACATGCCTGGCGGACAGTTTAAACAAGCTGTTGCGTCACTGGTTTACAGGTGCCTCGAATCGAATGCAGGGCATGCAGAAAGATCTTGTCTCAACTTCAGGGTTTGGGGGAAACCGCTGGTTACAGCTCTTCCTTTTTCCACGTACTATGGCATACCCAACTGTCCTCCCAGGCAGTTTCGGCCCTAGCCGGATGTGAATAACCTAGCAGTGCGGAAAGTGTGTCGTGCTACATTGTGGGGCTAAGACACGCCTGAAAGGATCAGAGCACTTAGTAGGTAGGGATACTAAAGAGTCAGGTAGCCAGAGGTACGGCTACTTTACAACCCCAAGTACTGCACTTATGACCTTATTTACCAAGCCCCTTGTTCCCCAAGTGATCCCCTACACACAAACTCTTTCGCATCTTTTTAACCTCTGGGCCCTACACCGCGAGCCCTAGTACCTTAACACGTGACCACGAGAATTTAAGACCACTATATGATAGGGCATGCTCACCTCCTGCGGCCAAAATCTTAAAGCTTAAAGCCCGAAGCCCTAAATCCTTGAATGAAAAGAGATGTCCAGGCCAACCTCAGCAACAAGGGGAGTCACTTTCTGGACTTGGTCGCCATCGACATGACGCAGACGACTGCATTCGACCCCGATGCAGTCGCCATTCTGCAGGATCCACCCTAAGCCATCCCTAAACCCTGAGCCATATAAGCCCTAAACCCAAACGTCTGAAGGGCCTTTGGGCTAGCGAGCTTGCGCATCGGGTGTACAGTGTATTGTACTTAGTAGAAGGAGTCTACTCTTAAACGTCTCGGGATAATCTAAGCCCGTATAGAAGTGAAAGTTTGCAACTCCTGGGAGCCTTATGAACTCTGCAAGAAGGGGCACCCCGGGCACCCTTTCACAACTTGAGGCAAACCCCGTGTCTTTGGGACGCTAGATGCTATTCCCGGCGTAGCCGTTCCTGGGACACGGCCGTCGTAAAAAATCGGAGGGTCTGTGGGAGCAAGGATCCAAAGGCCCCCCAATACATAGTCAGTAGTCGACTAGGTAACCTGTAATCTAGGGTTTAGGGTTTGGGGCTCAGGGTTTAGGGTTTGGGGTTTAGGATAGTAGTTTTCTGAGCGGTAGAGTAGGTAACTTTAGCCGTTTTTGTGTGTTGAAATCCCAACCTGATCTCTAAGGTTAACCTTTAGCTCCCCTATAATACTGGGCAAGTAAGAGTCAGCAGCGCCCTTCTACTCTGTTGCTTGGGGTCTCCGGATTTAAGGTGGACAACGGAGCCAGGGTGCACACACTGCCTACTGCGAAAGGGATGCTGGCGAAGCTAGCTTATCATACCCTTACAAAGGCCGAAGCCCGATGAAGTGCTCTACCCATAGGCCCCATAGTAGTTCCTTTTTGTGGCTTATATTTAGGATTCCCATTAGGTAATCCCTAGAAGGAACTACTATGGGGCCTATGGGTAACCCTAACAAAAAACCAATATTCAAATTTTTGTGACGGAGCCTCGAATGAGGATCCTACTTGTGCGTTTTTGTATTACACTATCACTCCTCGGAATCCACGTTGGGCCTTCGAGAAGCCACATGTGGAGTTCTCTAAATCAGGGTCCCTTTTTCGGTCCCCCCCCAAAACAGTACTCGTACGGCTCCCTTATAAACCGGACCCTAAAAGACAACTGTTCGGCGGTTTGCTGGTCCGGGTGTTTAACCAATGTCACAGCAAGCTTCCATCATCAACCTCGATGCTCTGAACCCTAAACCTCGATTCCGTACAGATGACACTACTTTAGAGCAAATTTCGGGCGTGTCTATCATGTGGGTCAGGCTTGTGGCTGTCCGTTTTAACGCTCACAGGAGCTCAAATCCAACTACAGCAACAACGTGGGTTTAGGGAGGTGACGTCTATGTCTGAGCCTGATTAGGTCAAGGTAGGCTGGATGCAGGATGCCCGTTTGTGAGGCACCTTTCGCCATCCTACGTTCATCCCACCTGTTTGAGGCCTAAACCCTGAAGCCATCCCAAAGCACTACAGCCCAAAACCCTGAAAGTTCGCAGAACCCCAAAGATCCGTGCAGGACGGAGTCAGCGGCTGGAATGAGATCTCGAAAGGGCTGGCGCACTTTCCGCTGGAGGCACATTCAGGGTCTAGAGGCTCAATCGGGTTCACAGTTTGGGATTCAAGGAAGCCTCAACCCGACAGCCCAAGGGTTTAGGGTTTAGGAACGCTTAGGGGCTTAGGTTTAGGGTTTAGGGCCTTAACAGCCTTAAAGCCTAGGGTTTAGGGTCCTAAACCTTAGCCCCAAAGGCTAGACCCTAAAACGCCCTCAAGCCCGAAGCCCTGCAGTGCTTCAGCCGCTTGCGGCTGAAGGCTTCTTGGGCTTCAGGAGGCGGCGATTCGACAGGTACCTTAATAATTCGTCTAGGACAGTATGGGGGTTTCATAGGTATGTTATAGTAGTGTACATCATAAACCGAGAGAGTCCTAGTACTTACTTAGTACTACCGGGCTTCTGGTCGCAAATACTGCGCTCTGGGATACCCAAGCCCTAGACCCAAGAATAGCCGAACCTGCTTGGAGGTTCAGTGGACGTCGTGAGGAAGGTTACAAGTATTGGGGTTAATTATAAGTAATTATAAGCATAGTTACCTCAGGAAATAACCCTAGTTACTAAGTCCCATGGCCCTTTAAGTAGTAGACTGTTTAGGCACGTGGATCTCCACAGTAAGAAGCAGTAGCAGTAGGAGAAGCGAAGCAAAGCCCGATCCCACAGCCTAACAGATATACTATGGCCCCCCACAACTCCAAGTTCGCGGGGCCCCGACGATGAGGTTTAGGCTTTATGGTTTAGGGAGTCGAAACTAAACTTTGAGAGTTGGCCTTAAACCCTGAACCCCTGAGCCGCCCTTTATGCCTTCAATCCCGCTTCCCGAAGCTCTCAAACCCAGAAGCCATACCGGCTCCCATCCCCTGCTCCGGAAAGAAAGGGGAAAACGAAGGCACCAACAAGACTTAAATAGAGTCCTAACTCCTAAACCCAAACCCCCACCAACAAGACTTAAATAGAGCCCTAACTCCTATTCCCCCAAACCCCAAGAAGGAAAGCATGAGCAGGTGGTCCATGTCGGCACGACGGTGGACATTCGGCAGGAGGGGCAGCGACCGTATCTCTGCACCCTTACGGTCCCAATGCGGCTCCAGATTTATATAAATTTAACCTTCTTCCAGCAAGTTATAGTATCATGTACGTCAGACCTGTTAACTTCAAATCAAGACAACGCCATATCGGTTCGGATGATGGATGCAGTAAGCTCAAGAGGACTTGATTGTTCTGTTCAGGGCTTGGGACATCCACCCATCCTGTGGTAATCCCCAAAGCCTTGTCAGCGGTACGGCACTCGACGAGGGTTTTGCGGCTTTCTACACTATGATCACCGGACCATAGGTGTATGCATATGTGTGTATATATATACATATACAACTGCATACAATATGTGACATGTTCACTTATCCATTTGTTAATTTAAGTATATGAATTGGGTTATAGTTGTATGTGTGTATATCTATATATATATATATATGTGTGTGTGTGTCTATTTGTACTTATGATCAAGCAGCCTCAGGGATTGACATTCGTCTGTATTCAGCCTCCCATAAGGCTTAGGTTTTAGGGTTCCGGGTTTAGGGTTCGGGGTTTTGTGTTTAGGCATTAAAGGTTTAGGTATTACTGGTAGGGTTTAGGTATTAGGGTTCAGGGTTCCGGGTTTAGGGTTTAGGTATTAGGGTTTAGGTATTAGGGTTTCGGGTTGAAGTTTAGGTAACCCTAAACCCTAAACCCTAAACCCTAAACCCTAAACCCTAAGTATTAGGGTTTACGGTTTAGGGTTTCGGGTATCGACTTTGGGAAGGCCGAAGCCTCCATGCAGAGCGACCGGCACGCCATCATGAATCACATCGCCTTTGGGAAGGTCCCGGGGTTCAGGGTCAGGGTTAGGGTTTCCTGCTTTGGGGGCGAAGGGTTTGAGGGCTTTTTGGGTTGAGAGTGGTAGCTCATGGAGATTTAGGGGTTTTGGGTTTTGGGATTGAGGGTTTAGGGAGTAGGAGTTCAGGGTTTAGGCTGTAAGGACCTTGGGAAGGTCCAAGTTCGGCTTTGGGTGCCAGGAAGTTGGAGCTCCCCTGTCCACGCTCCAACAAGAGTACTGTAGAAGCCTAGATAACTTGTTTCCCCAATGCCAAGCTTTAAACTTTTTGGGTTCTTATGACTTAGTAGTAATCTGAAAGTTTAACCTTTGCATTTCCCTGGCTTATTGGCGAAGTAAGATAATCACCGATATGCTTCTTTAGGGTTCCTGATGATAAGTCTATTGCAAAGGAGACCCACATTTATTCTAATGGTTAAGGCCCGGCGTCAAGCCCACTGCTACCGCTACTACTACTACT